GCATTTCATGCGCGTTGCTTGTGCTTTGAAAGCACTTCGCATGTGCGTTAGTAAATGGTTGCGGTGTAGTTGAGGGGCATTTCTTCTGTTGCGCACATAGCGCATGTCTTTGCCGTGCTCCTTTACTGTGCGGGTTGTTCATGCTTGTGTCCCTTCACGAAACTGGGATGTCGTCGCTGAAAAAGAGGCGCAAGGAGAGCACCCGTTTTTTTTTTTTTTGAGAGTGGATACTGCTCTAATAATGAGGGCATCTTATTATTCAGTGGCTCTGCAGACACATGACGCTGAGCCAAGTAGGATAAAAACATAAAGCGAAAGGATCGAAGACTAACTGCGGCGGCTCTCATTGGTGACAAACATTTTAGTGATTGCTAAATTAAGCGCTCCTTTAAAATTACAGTCAATGGTGTCATCAGTGAAATGCGCCGTGAAAACCTCAAACTAATAATTTGTATCCTCTATTTTATATGCAACTCTCGATTCTTTTCATGGCCAAGATGATTTCTCGCTTGAACTGGCATCGCCGACACGATATGTGGTAGAGAGTCGGTCTTCCGCCGCACCACGGACATACAGCCGGGTAAAGAGTTGGATGTATCGCGTGTAACTTCAGTAGGTGCGGAAATACATCCGTTTGAATTTTTCTAAGGTCAGTGGCCTCTTCCCCATTAAGGGATCTGTGAGGTGTTCCACATTTTTGACGCGTGAAGCGCTGGTGAGCTAGAATCTCCCTAGGTAAAATTGGCATGGTCAATGAAAGAGATGGATTCTCCGCTCGGTTACAAAACGCACGAGCTAGAGCGTCCGCCCTTTCATTGCCTTCGAGACCTGCGTGTCCCGGGCACCAGATCAAGCGATGGTGGTGAGTGAGTTTGGATCCTAGCAGCCTCAGCCCCATTGCTGGAAGGCGGCCCCTTAAAAGAGCCGGCAGGCTTCCTGGGAGTCGGATAAAATAACTGATGGCTCCCCTCTACGCTCCTGAAACCTTAAGGCTAAGGCTATGGCCATCGTCTCCGCCTTTGTAGCCGAGGTCGTGCGTACGGAGGCACTCGTTAGCAGCGTCATGTTGTTGAAGATGCTTCCGCTCGGCTTCCTTGGCTCGCGTCTCGTTGGTGTTACCCGCGCATCGTCTGCATTCTCGAACCCGATCACACGCATGCATGGACGGACGGACAGATGCTTCGCCCCACTCATCATCATTCACTCCGTGGATATGCTGTGATTTTGTCAATATTAATCTTGTACTCCATGAAATCAGTAAAATACTGCTGCAGCTGCTTCCCTGAATGTACGAAGTGCTAAGTAACTCCTCCGGAAAAGTGCTACGCTTGTCAGAATGCCTGACTGCTGGCATCGTCTGCTATGGCCACCTAAATGAAAAAAAAACAAAAACAAAAAAAACACGGTGGTTGAGCGCACCACCTCTATAAAAGCCGAAGACTCATTTCGTGTTCAATTGACGCATCAAATGGATATGAACGCTAAGGGAACACCTTTGCTACAAGAAATGCGCATGACTACGCTACTTCATTCATTGTAGGTTTGTATCTAAAGGCGGGCCGCGGTTGACTTGACAAGCATGCGCAAATTACATTGGTTTTAGCACACAACGCTACGAAGCATAGCGCAAGTGAATTCCCCAGTTTGTGGGAAGCAAGACAGCATTCTTACAGCCGCAAGCAGCCGCAACCTTTCTGTTATGATTGTGGGCAAACGTGAGAATCCCGCACGTGGGTCCCTTATTCTGAGTTGTAACTTTTCTCTGTGGCACGCCCCTAATATTTATTGCACAAAATTTCTTCGGTGGTCACATGTGCACATTCTATCGCCATCTAGCCACACATGGGTGAAAATTATGAATGATTGGTTTAGTTCTAGAGCTTCTACAAAAGGGTAAATTGTGATTTAAAAATGAGATCAGCCAGCCATGTAATTTTACGCCCTTGAGCATGCTGCGAGGTCATGTGCACCAGGATCTAAACAGCAGTGTCATGTTTCAGTAAAATCGCCTATGGCCAGGGTTTTTTTTCATTTTCATTCAGAAGCTGTGTCATAGTTTATGGCAGCTCTTCGAAGACGAACCAGTTTTCGAAGCTGACTACGTTTTCGCCTGTAGGTCCAAGCAACATTAGGAGGAAGTGACAGTGGATATGGGCCCATTGAATACAGTTGTAATCTATATGTTGCGAACAAAATTCTCGGAAGAAGCAGAAGCAGGAGAAAGTTAGTATATGGTCCCCAAGCCCAGGGAAACGGTCAGTTTTACAGCCTCCGAGCTCGGGATTCGCTGTGATGGTTGTAACCTGACACTGAAGGGCAGCTGCTGGTGAAGAAAAAGCAGAGCACGGGACTACGCTTGACCACCGGAGGAGAGGGAGAGCAGAGATGATGTGGTGACGGAGTCAGTGGCAAATCGCCCTCCATGTCGAGAACTCATTTATTCATTGTACGTCTGTGTCGCCATTTTTTGTTCATAACTAGTTATTCATTGCCGGAACAACACGTCGGTATTTATTTCAACGAACGCGAACGATGCTACAAAAGAGGAAGCCTGTGAACTGAAGTCGCGTAAGGCAGGCACGTTGGCAGAATTTATTATTATTTTTTAGAAGGGGCACTATCTTGAGTAGAACTGGGGGGGCTAAGCAGGCAGGTGTGGGCGACCGTTATTTTGTGCGCTCTAAGCCGTTTGCGATTTCCTTCGGGAGATGAGAAGAATAAAATGCTAAGTTCATCTTCAAAAAAATATTCAAATCAAGCATATTCATTAAAAACTGAAAATTTTGAAATGATGAACGTTTCCTTTTAAATAGCAAGACACCGTTCGTTTCATAGCCGATCCCCCATGATGGGTTATGCCAGGATAAAAAGGGACAAACAAACAAGCACTCCTGGTTATGCCACTGGCGGATGGAAACCTGAGCGGTCGGGTATACACATGGGGACGGACGCCCGGGAAGGACGATGGTGGGGGCGCAGACTGCGGTAGAATTTACCGTGGCGAGAAAAATAAGCGATAGCAAAGACTAGAGCAACACATTTATTCATTTATTTCATACATCTAGCTGGTATTACAATGAATAGTCAGGATTAGATTGTAAAAAAAGTGTTGAACAATTGCTGAACATTCATTCAAAACAAATCTGTCAAGTCTAACTAATAACAGTGTTCAACAATCTTGACACTATGCGAAAACAGGGGAGGCAATGAAACTCGCAAAAAAAAAAAAACCCACACATGATCATGCACATGAGAAATATTGGCAAGAAAATACAACACAGAAATTGCAAAAACATCGCGAAAAGATTTTGACAGTTTAAAGCAAAAAAAAAAATTACACAGAAAAAATGACAATAAAGTGCTAAAGAGCGCAGCGTCGCATAGTGGTCTGCTAGACAACGAAAAGAGCAGTGTTGATATCGATTTTTTCTTCAATATCGCACGTCATCTGAAAGCGGCAGGTGAAACATCTCGCGTCGTAAATTAGCGAGAGTGTTCACGAGTGACGACAAAGTTGGGCTCTACAGTACATTGTTTGGCAGGTCGTTCCTTTCATGGATTGCACGGGGGAAAAACTATTGGTTGAATATGTTGGTTTGGTGCGAATATTCGATTAACTTGAACGAATGAGATGAACGAGTATATAGGGTGCGGGTTACGCGGTTTAATATACAATCTCCCATCTATTTTGACTTGTTCACAATAAATTAGATATATCATCTTGAGTCTTTCTTGATAGCGCCGTACTTCTAGAGTTCCGTGGTTCGCATCCTGTAAAAGAGCACTAGCGGATGTGTGACGACGGTAGGAATTAAAAATAACTGCCTATCGCTGTATGTTTTGATTTTGCTTGTGTTTGATTGGTTGGAAAGGCCCCAGACAGCGTATTCTAGGAGTGGTCCTATGTATGTCTTGTAGTCCAGTAATTTTATATTACTCGTAGACATAGCAAAGGTTCTTTTCAGGTATCCAAGTTTCTTCATGGCCTTTTTTTAATGTGAGCTACATGGTTATTCCACCTAAGGTCTGACGGGATTGCTAAATTGAGGTACTTATTTTGCTTAACAGACGATAAGTTCTGACCATTAATGCTATACACGAAAGGTAACGACTTCCATTTGCGTGTTATGGTCATCGGTACTGTTTTTTTTGTTAATGCTCATTTGCCATTCTCAGCACCAAGTAGCTAAAACTGATAAAGATGAATTTGCGATAGCTTGATGTGCATTACTGTGGATTTCATGGTATAGTACACAGTCATCTGCAAAAAGCCGTGTTATAATTGCCATTTTTAGCTAGTTCCACTAATACTAAATTTCGTATCACATGACGTGAATAGACGACAAAGGTAAATGACGCGTCCAATAATGTATAGCATAACTTGCGTTGGCCTCGTAACGTTGTGCTGATTTTAAAATGACATATGAAGCTTCCTCATTTGTGCTTCGCATATCAGCTATTCTTACTGAATGTGGGATCTGCCAATTTTTTTTTCTTCTTGTGTGTATTTCAAGGTTATCACTGAAAAAGACAGACAAGAAGCTCCCGATATTCAAAAAGAAAGTAGAAAATGTGATTAATTCCAAAACCGTCTGAAAAATGTAGTAAAGGCAGGCAAGCTATGGCAGCTACGTGAGACAAAGATGAAATTGTGAAAATGGAATAAAAAGACGCCATTGAAAAGGTATGGAGAAGTAAAGCGGAAGCTTTCCGCTGCTAAGTATGTTTTATATAGCCTTGTCACACGGGCACTTTGTGTTGCGATCAGAGTCGACCTGGGTAAGATTTCTTGATCACGATAACAATCATCGCTGATACAAGGTCCCAATTACCTTGATCTAATTTAACTGATCGAGTAAAATTGCGATCTGGGAGCCAAGTCACGTTGCGCAGATCGACACTGATCGGCCCTGATTAATATTGTCCGTATGACAACGCCCAAGAAGCACTTTTCGATAAATAAATGGCTGCTAACATTGTTAGTCAAAATGACTACGCAGAGAATTCGCTTGGACTTCGATCAGTTTGACCTCGAGACGAGTGCCCAGTGCAACGCGGACAAGGTGATCATCCAAGAGAACGGGGTGCGTATGCATTCCTTACTTTGCTGCATCCAAGCACACATCTTTTGTCCGTGGCCCTAAATTCTGCTCACTGGAATTAGCAATGAATAATTATTGCAAACACCTACTTTGAAAAAGCTTACTGATTCTAGACGAGTGCTTTGAACGTCCTCTTTATAATGGGCCAGTGACATGTGTACCAAGCTAAACAAAAAAAAAGGAAATCTTCATTCTTTCTTTTTTTTTCAAGTGGCCTAATACCTTGTCTACTTCTACTAACTATATCTTGCTATAAAGAAAAAGAACATGAATCCACAGCCCACTTTATTGCCGTCTACAACAGAATGTCATTACTTTTCACACTATTTATTTTTGTCATTTTGATCTAGTTTACTGTCACGATTACTGTAACCATTTCTTACTTATTTTCATTGCGGATGTGTTCAGCGTTTCGTAGTTCTTAGCATCTAAGTATTCGTGTAGGTTCCACATTCAATAAGAGCATGCTCCATCATTTCCTTATCTTTGTCACAGACGTGAATTTCGCTGAGACAACACGATCTTTCTTCATACAGTAATGCACTTTTCCTTGAATTAGGATAGAATACATGTCTCCTTTTTTCCCTACTTCGATGGTTACTGGGAGCCGGCTTTCGTCGCTGCCCTTCAGATAAAAACGTACCTCACTTCCACCCGAGAAAGACGCGACTACAAGAAATGATGCAAATTTCCACGTCTGGATGAGTATTGCAGCCAGGGCGTTTGCGTGGCCAGAATGTGTGCTATAGAACACAGATCCAGCCACGAGATTTCCTGGTTCTGCTGTAAAAATAAATAAATTGCATAGCAGAACCGTAGAGTCACGCCAGGCATCTAAACTTGAGCAACAAGCGAGTTCCTACTCGTTATAAAGCACTCAAAAACCATCATCGGCAGCAGAACCATAAAAAAAGTGAACGAATGAGTATGTTCACGTGTTGCCCTAAGGATGCGTCAGGACTCCCAAAATAAATGATTATAGCGTAGCGGGCACTCAACACAGACTTTCCTAAATATACAATAGAGAGAACTCTGTGTCTATGGGAGCTGCAACGCATGGCGCTTCAGCTAGTACACGGATTTCTCTAATCTTCGTACTTCTGGTTCCATGTGTGTTCGTGTGGCTTGAAGCTGTTCTGTCATGAAACCAAAATCAATGAATGTTCATCAGTTGCATTTCACCCTCTTAATCTTTTAGGCTTACCATTTCAAACCGGGTCACAAAGTTCAAAAAAGTTCGTTCTTTCCTTCAAAACGAAACCGAAACGCCGCAATAAACGAAGCCACAAGTGCGATCCGCCGCCCGCAAGTACGAAGACTAAGCAAATCCGTGTATTATGGTTCCCTGTAGATAAATTCAGGAAACTCTATGGCACTCGGCAAGTGTGCTTGCAATACAAGGGTATTTTTAATTGCACAGTCGAGTATGGGCCGGAAATAACATAAGCAGATGCGCAGGTAAAGCTGTCCGTAACGTTTCGCGGTTTGGTTCGGGTGGGTTTTGCAGATTCACAGAGAAGCCTGCTTTGCAGCCGTTTCGCAGCCGAGCAAACATTCAGGCTAAACCCAGGTTGCAACGGCGTGGAGGGTTTTTGCGGACGTCTTACACCAAGCTTTAAAGGGGTCCTGATACACTTTGCTGAGTAGAATGGATTTACTAAAGGCACTTATTGCCTCGCGAATTCACCGGCTCGTTAATCAGAGTTGAAGATTTGTGGCATGCTGCAATTGCAGTCTCCCTGCTCTCGTCCTGACGAAAGCGCAGTGGGGGAAGAAAATGCCTCATGGCCTTTTCATGACTTTCAGCACTTTTTCTGTGTGTGTGTTTTTCTCCTTGAATTCGCGGCTTTTCGGGGCAGTCGCGTGGACAGCTTGCGGGGACTCCAGTAGCGAGCCAGGCCTGGAGCGTAGTGATTTTGAGCCTGTAGCGTCGCTTTTCGAGAGAAGAAAAAGTGGTGTTTCATTGACGTCGAGGATTCATTTTGAATTCCAGGCCGCATGCTGCGCTATAATATTTGGCTCAAGTGTTCTCGGGAGCCTCGACTACCGATGGGCAGCGTTATCTGCTCTTTCTTGACGTTTAAGGGCTTCCCTCTTACGGTGAATTTCACTGAGGGGACAGGAGTAGTTGCGTCGTGCAGTGGAATAGCATTGAGCGCAGGGCCACTCGAGCTTCTACTGAAATATGGCGCACTTCCAGAGGGTGACAAGTCGGGAGACCATGCGTTCGAAACGTTCCCAGCCGAAATGCTGCCCTGCATGCAGTCAACGTATATCTTCGTAGTCTTTGTTCCATACAAATGTTGTGTAGTGGTGCCACGCTGGTTGAAGCAAAGTGAGAAGAAACGCAGAGAATCTAAGTGTCAAGTGATCATCATCATCAAGATGTTCCTACTCCGCTTTTCAAGCGAGAGCACTATGTATGCAAACTACTTCTGGCTGCTTAAAGAACTACGTAGCTGTTTGCTTTCATGACAGAGTTAGATTTTGCAGGTGATGACAAGGACGCTGTGTTCTGACTTGCGACCGCCGCCGTACCTGAGCAGGCAGTCGGCAGTCACCGTCATCCTCGCCACGGATAAGATAAAAGCCAGTCGCGGCTTCGTGATCCGCTTCACCGCCACCAGAAACAGCAGTGAGTAGTGTGTCATTCAGGTTGTGTGTAAGAATGTTTGTGCAGCAACCTGCTGTATGTTGTGGGAATGTAATGTCCTTTGGTGCCTCGTTGCCCAGCTAGCATATATGTCGGCCTTGCACGGCTTGAGTGCATGACGTGCTAGAGATGTTTCGACTGAATTGAGATGCCGCCCCGGGGGAGCGTGCATCTACAAGCGCATCTTTTAGCGTCGGCTGTCCTGGGTGCACCACATCAGACTAGAGCCAGGCCGGCTGCTTGTGCGCTCTACGTGGACGCAGTCACGATGACCGTTGTCGGCACGCACCAACAAATGGCGTTATTTTTTTCCCTGTAGGTGTGTGCAGCAGCCCAAGCCTCTTCGAATGCGACAACTCGGAGTGCATACCAAGGGCTCGTGTGTGCGACGGAGTCTTCGACTGCGTCGATGGATCTGACGAAGATCGCTGCCGTAAGCGAGCTTTGCGTTCTTTGTCAGTTGTGTTCAATCGATGCTAGGGCAGCGTAGCTTTGGGTCATGTTGCCGAGATGTCGCTCGTGCATCCAAGAATATCGAGGCCCGAACTTGGCAACAGCGCTTGGCGCCTGGCATCCCTCAAAGTAGTCCAGGCGTTCGCGTTAAGCTTGCTGACAACTCTATAGAAGTCAGCACTCTTACCTCAAACGCTACACCGCATGGCCTTCTTCGAATGACGCCAGCACTGCGAAGTTGCAGCTAATGATAAAAGGAATGGAATAAAAAAAGTCGCACCTTTGCCACAAAAGCGAAGCAATGAACGCAATAGCAACAACTTGAAAGGTCACCCGCAGAATGCCAAGCAAATCGCAACATGCCCCGTGTTCGAAACGTTCGAAACGTACTCACAGGTACATATGAACGTGAATAAGCGTCTAGGTTATTACTTCGCCGTGTCTGAAAAGCGCGTCTTTTTTGCAAACGGAGGCTCTGCATAGATTGTAGTGACCTTTTTGTGCCTCGTTACTACAACAAAATCATTCTAGTGCAAGCTCAACGCCAGCCGAGACGTATGATCTTCCCCACCGGGAAATAATGGCGCGCGAGAGATCGTCCACTCCTCTTCTCTCCGCGGGCCAAAGTACGTGAGAGAGATGACAGCCGCCGCGCGCTCATTGCGCCATCTTGCTGATAACGCTGAAAACACGATATCCCACCCCCTTTGCCGTTTGAGCTTGCGGTTTGAACGTTGAAGGAAGTACCCCTCGGTGGCTCAGTGGTTAACGCCTCGAATTCACGACGTGGAAGTCCCATGTTCGATTCCGCCCGCCGAAGTCTTTTTCCTGGACTTCTTTCTTGCGTTTTCATATATGTAGATAAGTATACATATATGATGCATGACATAAAAGCTGATGCCGGCGGCGAAATCCAGCCGAGAGTGTCCATATAATTGATATCGCAATAATACGATACTGCTTTTGAATACGTTTAAATTTAAATACGTTTAAATACATTTCGGCTTCCATCGGAAATGGCAGCCGCCCCAGCTGGGATTTGATCCTGCGACCTGCGGGTCAGCAGCCGAGTACATTAGCCACTAGACCACCGTGGCGGTGCTTGCACAAGTAGTGTAATCTCACCAGAATATTTTATATGCAAAGAAGCTGCCGCTTAGCGTTTACCGCACCAAACGCTTGGCAGTCACACCGGCACCATCACAGTCACGAGTTGAACTCGGGCCTTCTCAGAATGAACGAGTTTGTATACGAGTTCATGTGTCCATCAGTTTGATTTACAGACGCCCGCGGTGAAGATCAGGTGCGCCCACCACGTTTACTCGTGCCGAGGAGCAGTACTAACATCGAGTGGCACGATTAATCTTATCAGCTTTATCGCGCAGACTATGCACACACGCACGCAGACGTAAAAGTGATATCGCCACGCGTCTACAATGCCTCACATTCAGTTTCACCGCGTTCAGGCTATGCACACACGCACGCAGAAGTAAAAGTGATATTACCACGCCGCTACAATGTCTCGCCTTCAATTTCACCGCGCTCAGGACATATCCAGTCACAGCTGCGTTGCCGATGAGATGCGATTGCCCTTGGTGACCACATGTCCTTACTGTCACGCAGTTTATTTACGTACAGACCTACTGGAAGGCCGAGGAACGCCAGAAGAGCGAGGAACGCCAACAGGCCGAAAATACAAAACAAACGCAAGCTCGGGTCGCGCGCGTGCACCAACGCTGTGGCTTGCCGTTTCATGCTGCTTCGTCGTCGTTCGCATAGTTCCCTACATTGGCCCCCGGTGAATAGCGTAGCCAACCTGGTGACTTAAGGCGTAGTCACTATAGCGGGGTCGTAATACGACTACAGGCGACTCACATGCACAATTTCTCGGCCACGACGGCGTAAGTCATGAGACTGTGTCAAAGGCTCAATCTCATAATTGACTGGTGACGTACGGGCGAGAATGCGGTAGGGCCCGTGGTATCGTGCCAGTAATTTCGACGAAAGGCTAGGAGTGCTCGGTGGAATCCAGAGCCAAACGAGAGCACCAGTCGTGAAAGTAGAGAGATGTCGGTCGGTGTCGTGCCGTAGCTTCTGGTGGCCTTGGTCCTCGGTTGTCAGTGAACGGGCCAATCGTCTGCAATCTTCTGCGCACCTGGCAACATCAGAAATTGCAGTGTACTCAGAGGAGTCGGGCGTGTATGGGAGAATAGTGTCTAGCGTGCACGATGGTTCGCGTCCGTACAACAGAAAGAAAGGGGAGAACCCTGTTGTCGCGTGCGTAGCGGTGTTATACGCATACGTGACGAATGGAAGGACAGTGTCCCAATTGGTCTGGTCTGAAGCTGTGTACATCGTCAACATATCACCGAGAGTGCGATTAAATCGTTCTGTGAGGCCATTCGTCTGCGGCTGATATGCTGTCGTCATGCGATGAACCATGTTGCACTGAGCGAGCAACGCTTGAATGGTGTCAGACAAGAAAACACGCCCCCGGTCGCTCAAAAGTTCGCGGGGAGCACCATGGCGAAGAACAAAGTTGCGCAGGATGAAAAAAAAATGCCGCCATATCCACTAAGTGAATGATGATGAGTGGGCGAAGCTCCGGAGGTAAACCTAATAAACCATGAATCCTCCGTACATTTTGCCCACTCGATTTTATTGCAACGCTCCCCCTAGCGTACGTCGCCGCACTATATCGAACGATGACACGCCATGCGTGGCATCATTCCTATTTTATAACACCTTGCATCTTTCATAATCAAGTACACGTACCGCCGTCTAGTTTATAACATCTTGCATCTTTTGGACGGACGGACAGACGGACGGACGGACGGATGGATGGATGGATGGATGGATGGATGGATGGATGGATAAATGGATGGATGGATGGATGGATGGATGGATGGATGGATGGATGGATGGATGGATGGATGGATGGATGGATGGATGGATGGATGGATATGGCTGTACCCTTTAGATCGGGCGGTGGCTAGCGTAATACTTAATGCCGTCAGCTACAAGAACCGCCATCTAGTGAACACTGCAAGAACTGAATGAGAGGTGGCTACATACAGGGGACGCACAGCCCACGCCTTAAGGAGCTTCGCTCCTAAAACGCAACTTCCTTCGCGGTTGCTGCGGGTAGTGCTGCCGTCTTCGCGTAACGCATGAGGTGATCCACGCCGACAATTATCCACCTATTTCCAGAAGACGACGTGGGAAGTGGTCCGTATAAGTCGATACCGACGCGGTCAAACAGACGCGCTGGACAAGGCAAAGGCTGAAGTGTACCGGCAGGGCGTTGAGGTGGGACTTTACGTCGCTGGCATGCAGTACAAGCACGTACGTACTTGGGGACAAATGTGTACATGCCGCGCCAGTAGTACCACTGACGTAGAGGGTTGTACGTTTTGAGAGCGCCAGCGTGAGCGCTTTGCGGGTTGTTGTGGAAAGCAGTACAGATTTCCGAGCGCATGTGGTTGGGTATCACTAACAGCCACTTCGACCTTCAGACGTGTAATTCCGCCGATAGAGTAGGTCGTCTCGAATAGCGAAATGTGTGGCTTGACGGCGGATAGTTCTTGAGACCAAATTAGCTAACGGATCAGTCAGAAAGGCGAGGAGTTGGGAAATCCACACATCTTTGCGTTGTTCCGATGCCATGTCTGTGAAGTCGATTGGTGTTATGACAGCTGAAGAAGGTGACGAGGGGGTTGGGTCAGCCGGTAGCGGCGAGCGGGATAGCGCATCAGCGTCGGAGTGCTTGCGGCCGGATCGGTACACAACACGAATGTCGTATTCCTGTAGGCGAAGCGCCCAACGACCAAGGCACCCCGACGGGTCTTTGAGCGATGATAGCCAGCATAGAGCGTGGTGGTCCGTGACGACTTCGAAAGGGCGGCCATAAAGGTATGGGCGGAACTTCGTCAAAGCCCAGACAATTGCGAGGCACTCTTTCTCCGTGACGGAATAATTACACTCGGCTTTCTTGAGGGTTCGACTCGCATAAGCAACCACGTATTCTTGGTACTCTGGTTTTCGTTAAGCCAATACAGCACTAAGAACGACACCACTGGCGTCGGTGTGGACCTCCGTAGGCGCATCAGGGTCAAAATGACGTAGTATTGGAGGTGATAGTAATAACCGCCGAAGCGCGGTGAAGGATTCGTCGCACTCTTTTGACCAAGCAGAAATGCCTTTGGAAGTTGTCAGCAGGTTGGTAAGAGGCGCGATGATGGAAGAGAAGTTGCGCACAAATCGACGGAAGTATGAGCACAGGCCGATAAAGCTTCGAAGCGTCTTGATGGAATTGGGCTTCGGATAGTTGGCCACGGCGCGGAGTTTCGCCGGATCCGGGAGAACACCCTCTTTGCAGACGACGTGACCCAGTATAGTGAGCTGACGTGCGGCAAAATGGCTTTTCTTGATGTTAAGTTGAAGGCCAGCAGAGGTGAGACACGTGAGAATAGCACGAAGACGAACAAGGTGGGTCGAAAAGTCGCGAGAAAAAATGACGATGTCGTCTAGGTAGCAAAGGCACGTGTTCCACTTGTAGCCGCGAAGGATGGTGTCCATCATCCGTTCGAAAGTAGCTGGGGCGTTGCAGAGTCCAAACGGCATGACGTTAAACTCATACAGCCCATCAGGTGTTACAAATGCAGTCTTCAATCGGTCAGGATCAGCCATGGGAACTTGGCAATATCCTGAGCGTAAATCCAAAGAGGAGAAATATTCTGCCCCTTGCAAGCAATCGAGAGCGTCGTCGATGCGTGGCAACGGGTACACATCCTTCCGAGTTATCTTATTGAGCCGGCGGTAGTCGACACAGAATCGGATAGACCCATCCTTTTGCGCACAAGTACAACAGGGGACGACCAAAGGCTCTGCGATGGCTGGATGACACCACGCTTGAGCATATCGTCGACTTGTTCGTTGATAATACGGCGCTCTTCCGCTGAAACTCGATAT